GTTCGAGGGCGTTCACAATGGCCGCAAATTCCGCGTCGGTTGCGCTCGCCTCGGCCTCTGTCACAACGGCAGCGAACGCAAGCTCGATCTCGTCGATACATCGACCGAGACGGGAAATGAGGACATCGAGCAAAGGTCCGAGAACGGCGACGGTATCATAGTGCGAATGCGGCACCGTCATGAGGAGAAAGTCGAGCCAGTGGTGGACGACCGCGTTATCGCCTTGCTTGAGCGCAGACGTGACGATACGAAGGAAGAAGTCGTCTCGGGAGAGGTCCGGCGGTTCGTACTGCGATTGCGACTGGGAGGCTTCGAAGGGAGGGGTAGCCGCCGCAGGCGGTGGAGGCGCCGGAGTGTCGGCGCGTGGTTGCCGTGCGGACCCGCGGGTAGACTCGACCGGCTGCGATCGGGCATGGACGACCGTGTGCAGAACGTGCAGCATCTTGTTCTGCAAGTCGACTTCGCCCCGGCAGATCGAAGTAAACAGTCGAGAGCTCAGAGCTGCTTCGATGGTCGGGATGTCCGACAGCTCTGCCTCGCCGCGCGACAGAAGGACTTGCAGAATCTCGGCCGTCAGGGCGTGCACTTGCGTTCCGCTCGGGCGGATGTCCGAGGTCGACGCTGGCTCGGCACAGAGAAAGCTGTTCGAGCGAGGTCAGCAGGCGGACACTTGCTTCGCAGGGCGTCGCACAGCGCACCGTAGCAGCAGGACGACAAGTCCGTCCAGATATGTGCATGTTTCGAGTTCGGCTGTAGGGCAACAAGCGTGTCAACGTCTGGTGTGGCCCACGGTATGTCTTCCTTCGCCCGCCTTACTATTCAGAATATGCTGGCGGAGAGCAGGATCGAGTGTGTGCTTGAGGAAAGAGGTCTTGGCGACGCGGATGAAGCCCTGACCGCCGAATCGCGCGAGCGAGAGAAGGCTATCGAGAGCGTGCTGGACCTGAGCGTGGTCGATCGGCCGAGCGTAGTGCGAAACGGGAACCCGGATTTCGCCTAGGATCGCCAAATGCGTCTCGATCCGAAGCGTGGGGTCGGTCAGGACATAGAAAATCGGGTCCAGGACGCTGTACGGGAAGAATGATCAGCATCTCGGGCTGGTCCGCGGCTGATTACGTCCACGCACCGTAGATACGACTTCAGGCTACACCGCATCCACGCTTCGGCCAGACGTCGCTCCGTAAGGCTGTCAGACTTGAGCCCGTCAAGTATGGCGAACATTGGCAAGCGCAAGAGCTTCCCGGGGAGGTGCTGGTCGGCTGTCGCCAACGACGAGTCACGGTCAGGCTGAGCCGTCGACTCGAGAACCCGAGCGGAATGCGAGGGTACTTACGCGTGAAGCGCCACAAGTTGCCGAATTCTTCGTAGCCTCGAGCGCAGACGAGCTTGTCCGGGTGCGCCAGCCGCGACGAGATAACAGTCTCGATAGTTCGCAGCGGGGACAGACTATCGACCGCCCAGATCAGCTCGACAGCCGTCAGATGACATTGGGCAGCATTCGCCGCGAGATAGTCGAGGAGCTGGAGATACAAGTCGAGTTTGAATCAGCTCTGCGATTTCGAAGCGGGCGAACCTCCTTCGGTGCGCACCTTGGCACAGAAGACCTTGCTCAACTCGATGCGCTGAGCGGCCGAATACAGCTCGCCGGCGGCGTGCAGGTCGAGCACCGACCGAATCAGGGCGTCGTGCAGCTCGAAATTGCCAGGAACCGCCTTGACGCATTCAACGGCGCAGGTGACGTCGCAGATCCACGACGAGACCGACCACGCCGACTCTGGGCTCCGGGCCAAGCGGCTGTAGCTGCGGGCTGCCAGATGGGGCATGCCGATGAGTCGACGCGCGAGACGCGTCGCAAGCAGGCAGATCGTTTTCGATGCGGTGGGTCGGGAGTTCGAGGGGTGGCTTGCCTTGGAATGCATGCGGCAGCTCGAAGCGACGAGGTCGAGAGCTGCATCGAGGCCTTCGGAGAGGAGGTTCGGGCTCGAGAGTGAAGCCATCGTTGCCTCTTGGGCGATCGACGTTCCCGCATACACGCGCTCAGCAGCCTCTGCAGCGTTGATGGCAGGTCCCGTTTCTGTGCGCGAGGACGCCGTTGCGGTTTCCGTCGCGGCCGGCGGAGGTACTTCCACGATGAGATCGTGAGCAAGCTCGACGCAAGCGACAAGGCCTGATAGCGTTGAAGTTGTCTCGAGCCGACGCTGGAGCGCAGAGTGGAGCTGTCAGTCTGTGGCATGCGACCGAAGCCTCTTTAAGCGACTCACCGTCGCTGCTCGAAGAATGGTCACCGCGATGAGGGGAGCATGCAGCGCCTTGGCCTCGCCGTCGCGGATACGGAACGTTGACACCATGTATCTGACGAGGGCGAGCTGCGCAATTGTCCCCGCTGACGCTTCCTCGTGTTGAAGTGCTCGGTGTGCGATGTCATAGACCGCTCGCCAGAGTACCGAGGGGTCGAACGCTTCGTACAAGAGCTGCGCCGTATGGAAGACCTGGCACGGATCGCAAATAGAAAGTGAGTCGACTGCGCGGCTGTGGAGGCGTGGCACGCGAGTATACGACCGACCTCTTCGTTGACATCTGCTCCGTTCGTTGGCGACAGGATGGATCGGATCGCCGCAAACGTGTCGATGACCACGACGGCCGTCAACGGCGCGCCGAGCTCCCATTTGTCAAGAAGTGAGATGAAGATCTTGAACGGGCGCAAGAGCGTGGCCGAGCTGGTGGGAGAGGCGGGGAGATGGGGGGCCTTTTGCGCCGCCGTGGGCATCGCCGCCACGTTGCTGCCCGGCGGCGGTTCGAGGTCGCCTGAAAGTGACGCTGCAGCGTCCATATCACATGCGAGAGCGGCGTGGACGTCGCGCAAGGCGTGCGAGCGGAAGTACTCGATCTGTTCGTCCGAACCGTCTGAACGGCCGAGCAGCCAAGTATAGAGGCGACGAGTCAGGGAAAGGTCTCGTCGGAGCACGACTCCGAGGGATGCGCGGGCGAGAAAAGTACGATCGGCTTGAGGGAGGCTAGGAAAGAGACAGCACCGGATGAGTGTCCCGCTCTCGGCGGAGTTCGGAGTGACTCGAGAGTGCTCACTTTTGGTACGCGGCGGAATGGACGGGCAAAGTGTTGATGAGGAGGTCGAGGACACCTCTCTGGACGAGAATTTGGTCGTCAACGAGGGCCGCCGCAAACGCCCGCACCATCAGGCCGAGTTGGCGATCTGACTGTTCCGCGGGCGAACCGGCCGCTTCGGGCGGCGCCAAAAGCGGCAATCGACGCGAGAGGTAATTGATTGCGGCTACTCGAGATCGAGGGGCGGTGATGACAACGAGCCAGAGTGTCGAGAGGAAGAATGACGGTGTGACGGTGTCGCACAGGCGGTCCAACAAGGCGGCGACCTGGCACGCTCGACAGTCAGCCCCGTCCAAACGGAAGATCGCCCCCACGTGATCAGCAGCTACTCTGACGCACCTGCTCGAACCACTCGCCGGTCTCCTCGTCGAGGCCGGGCAGGAGGGCGAGGATGAACGCCTTGGTCGCCGGGCGCAGCGCGTCGTGGAGTGGCAGGTAGAACCGGTCGAGGATCGAAAGGACCATCGGCTTGATGCTCGTCGCGGCGTACTGGAAGAACGGCAACAGGCCGCTCGTCCATGCGGGCAAGTCGCGTCGCAGGTTGTCCGGACCGATCGTCGTCAGGATGTGCGTATAAACGTCGAGCGCGCGCTGGTGAACTCCTGTCGGCAACGCCGGGTTCAGGCATTGTGACAAGCGCTTCGCTACGGTGAGCTTGTGCGGGATGAACGGGTATTGCGGCGCCGACTGAAGGCACTTGAGGAGTTTGGCGAGGAACGTGATAAAGTCGGCCCATTCGTTGACGTGTTCGAACGTTGCCAGCGTCTTGTCGACGGCGGCGGCGTACTTGCGGTACTTTGGATCGTTTGCCGCCGCCCGCTCCTGGCTCTGGACCGCCTCGCTGCGGGCGAGAGCGTCGTCCGGTTGCGACGGGACGAGGTGGGGCGACGCGGGCGAACTCGAACTCGCTGCTGTCGCCGTCGCGCTCGTCACGGCCAGCTGTGGGCTGCCTGGCCGGATCGCCGTCGGTAGCATCAGCCTCGCTTCGATCCCTGTCTCCGAGTATGCGCGGTGGTGTCGAGAAGCGCGAAAGTCTCCGTGACGGACTTTGCGGCACTTCGCCGTTTCGGCTGGACGCTCCCTCTCTCACCCCGATGCAAACACTGCTACGCCCTGTTCAATAGCTCTACGGTGGATCGTCGGCTAGCTCTGACATGCGGGTCGTCCTTGCCGCACCGCAGCCAGCCAACTCGCTCGCAGTCGACTTCATCGCACGGGCTGCTCCCTCGCGGGTTCGGGCTAGTCGGGGAGGCGCGGCGCTGTTTGCTCGACACTTGCAGCTTCCAAGGGCGACCTGCAACGATACGGCTCCCGCGGGACCAGCTAGGGGAGGATGCAGGGTCGTCCCGGTCCCTTCGTCATCCGCCGTTACCTCCCGTTATCCTGCACGCCTTCCATGGGGCTCATGCTGGCTCCTCGCCGAATGCTGGTTGTTCTTCGGCGTGTGTGCCTGGCTGTGGGCGCTTCTTGCGGTTGAAGTACCTGGGCGCGCAAACTTCGGGCGTGCGAGCTGGAGGGCTGATCCCGAGGATGTGGCTGGCGGAGTCTGCCGCTGTTTGCGCGTCTGCGAGCAGCAACGCTGTGACAATCAGGCCTTTTGCGAACTAGTGTAGGCACCCGCGGGTCTCAAATCAGACAACTCTTATAATTGCTCGTCTGCTATGCCGTGATGGGGAACTTGCTGCGATGCATGCTCAGCGTTCTGCACAATGCTTTGGTCTGGTTCTTAGCCGTATTTTTACTGGAGTATTGGGCGTGTGATTGCGTCACCAGGGATCTGATTTCGTAGTTTCGGTCGCCAGCGAAGATCCAGTAGCTGGCAGCATTGTTTGTGAGATCTATACGCAATAATTTGGCCTGGCCAAGGTGTAGGTGTTATGGCCGAGTGGTCTAAGGCGCTAGCTTCAGGTTCTTCGGAATTCGCTAGTCGGAAACGGCGTGGGTTCGAATCCCACTGACATCATATATTTTTTGCTGGCGGCCGGATACATTGGGATACATGGCTTGCGCAGGCTTCCCTTTTGCGGTATTCAATGCGTACAGAGGCGGGCTGTAAGGGGCGGGCAAGGGCAGCGGCGGATGAAGTAATCGCTTGGCTGGAGTTGAGAGGGAATAAGGTCCACAGACGCAAGGACCCCAACCACACTCTCAGCACCTCTGATGGTGGTGCAAGCAGGTATATACAGAGGTCAGTGCTTTCCAGATGTATGTGTGCGTAAGCCTGTTGTCAGCCAGCAATGTGTCTAGCAGGAGTACCTTGACAGCAAGGCTGCCTCAGTTTCGCAGCTGATCTGAAAGAACGGCTTGGAAAGGACAAGAAGATAAATATACTTTGTTGGGAGCATATGAGCTGCTATGCACCTCAAACAGGCCAAGCTTGTTCCGCTCATAGCAAGGTGAGACCCTATGGAGCGGCACAGTATCTGTGGTGACAATATTGACCAAGTCCAATAGCGCCTTTGGCATGGTACGGCAAGAGACAGATGTCAGATGCAACATGCAAAGCACTGCTGGAGATGATGACAATGGTCTGAATGTTGGTGTCCAATTCCTTGTCGTAAGTGAAGTCAGCGCTGTTCCTTTGCCGCCAAGCAAGCCACTGGCAATTTGACAAGGAACAGGCCGGGCAGCAAGTTGTCTGCTCCGGCCGTGCAGACCCAGAGGTGGCTCTTGGGTACATTGCTGTTGGTAAGCGTAACCATCTCAGTGGCAAAGATGTGCGGCACCATGACTTTGTGTAGCTCGGCGTCTGGAGCTTTCTTCAGGGAAAGTGTGGGCTCAGCACATCTCCGCCTCGTTGTCGCGCCTCTTGCACTGGTTGCAACCGCTGGCCCAACTTTGCCAAATCAACGACTTCATCCTCACTAGCGACGTGCCCACCAAACATTGTGAAAACTGCCACTGCAACAACGCAATCATGTACGTCAAGTGCAAGACCTGCCACGTAACGGGCTGCGTGCCCTGCGCCAAGTTGTACAAAGAGGGGAACAGCTCCTGGCAGTACGTAGAGCCCTGAGCTTCCGGACCTTGTCCTTTGCAGACCAATACTGACCCCTCCTTGGTGTCTTACAGCTATGGTCTAGACGGAGAATCAAAGGCCAAGGCTGACAACTGTGACACAAATCTTAAGACGCAACACTCGGAGCACAAGTGGACCGTGGCACTCGACAACGCAGACAACCTCTCTGACGGCTCTGGACCCCACAGCAAGCAGACTGGAGCCGTCAAGCTGTCCGTTGTCTCGCTTGTCTCGCTCAAACAAAGACAACATCCAGGACTTCACGGAACTCTGCGGGCAGGTATGGCGGCTGGTCTTCAAGGGCTGTTGCTTCAGTCCCAACTTTCCCAAGATGCGGACTGAAACTATCCCTGAGGGAGACCTCAATAACTGCATCCTGAGCGGCCTTCTAGCCTGCATCTGCGCAACGTACAACATGTTCAACCTCTGTGTTAACGGATTTCTTGGGCTGCGGGACTGCTACATCTTTGGGGAGAATTGGACCCTTGACACGTTCGGCTGGCCTTCGTGGTTTGTGCTCGGCACCCTTGGCAACGCGGCACCTCAAGCAATTGGCGCGCTCTTGACTCAACACCTTGTAAAGGGCAACAGCTATGCAGCAACAATCCACTGTGAGGTAAGCTGTCATTGCTAGCTGCAGCAAGCGCACCTCCGGCTACTGCGCAGACTTTCTGGACACCACCCCTTTGGGGTCGGACAGATGCCAAGGCGACCCACTCTGTCGTGGTTGAGGTTCAGCCTAGCTCCAGCAACTGCGCATTTGCAAAGAAGACTGCCATAGTGGTGCAGCGGGAGACCGGGGCAAAGGATGCCAATGTCAAGCGCATGGAGGACTGGATTGCTGCCAAGGTTGCCGCAGTTGCCTCCCTCCACAAAAGTTTTGCCAGGTGCAAGCTTGCAAGCCACAACGTGTACCTTGAGTTGTGCAATGGCAACTTCATGCAGTTCTGCCTGAGCCATATTGGTATCAGGGGCGAGCTGCCGGTGGCGGTGAGTTGTTCGTGTGCTCCTTGTTGTGAATCGTTCAAGGCACTGAATCTTTGTTCAGCCTTGCTCAGATCAAACCAATCCGCGGTATCCTGACACCTGCAATCATGAATCCGCTTTGTTGGCAACAATCATGCGGCCCCAATTCTTGCTCACTTGGCCCATTAAACATTACAGCAACATCTCGAGATATGCTCTACCGCACTCTGTACCGCTCGGGTTGCATCTCATGCAGTCGTCCCAAATGTGCAACCCTGTTGTGCGACTCTGATATGCTGATGAGGACGGGACCTCCACCCCGGGGACAGCGGCCTCGTCATGCTACCCTCCCGCTGCTTGCCCTATGGTCCGCTAGCTGCACACCATGACACTCATTGAAGAGGGAGGGAAAGGACCACTGCATGCTTGCAAAAACGGACTACAAAAGCGCCTGATTGAAGAAGGCAAACGCGGGTACTGAGGCGCGAGTAGGTGCACGGGAGAACGTCAAGTATGTCAAGGCATAGCTGGTCCTTGTAGTAGCTGTGGCTGTGGTCGGAGTGTGTCAGGAGAGCCAGGCCAGTTTTCACCGCGGCAAACAACTGACATTGAGATCGGGTGAAACTTGGCCTGGTGCAGGATGCGGGTTGCAAAGCAAGACAATTCTGAGGCAGGGCTTCCGGACACAGGCACTTTGGTCACCGCAAGCGTTGGCGCCTTCCCTTTCCCCTTTGCTTTTGTTGCCTGGTACTCGCCACTTGCGCTGGGTTCTCTGCTTGCTGCCAAGTTCTCAATAAGTCCGGAAGAAGACGTGAAAGCTTGCACGGCGTTGTTGAGAAGCACTTCAATTCTGCAAGCTGACCCGACCCTGCTCCGAACAGGCTGTAATCGAATTGGCAAAGCAAGCCAGTCTCGTGCCACCGCCTTGCGGACCCAATACAATTTACTTGATCCTCTTCATTCTTTTCACTTTGGCCTGGGGTCAAACTGCTGAGCTCGGCTATGCGGCCAAACTAAAGTGTGGCCCTGCTTGCCGCCCCGATCCGTGGGCAAACTTTCCCCTCATCTCAGCCTGGTTCACCAATCTGGCCCGACGCCATCCGTGCCTGTTGCACTTGGTTGCCAAGCTCCTGCAGCAGCTGGCTGGCAAGGCCAAAGCGGCAGCGGCCCTTACACTCCAATTAATGTTGTCTGTCTTGGCGAGCGCGGCAAGCGCGGCAAGCGCCAATTGGAACTTTGCGCAGAGGGTGCGGTCCTGGAAGGAAGGGAGCCATGACAACGCCAAGTTGATGGTGAGGTAGGACAACAGCTCGGATTGCAATGTTGGGAAGGCTGCGCACACTGCTGGTGTTGTTGCGTGGGTTTCTTTTTACCCAACTGCCATGCAGCAGGCCAGAAATTTGTGCTGCTGGCGGGTTACACCAAAGTTGCTTGACAGGAGAAACTGTTGACAGAGACCAATACTGTCAAACTCCAAACGCAGGGGCATCAGAGAGACTGCAATAGGCTCACATGACGCTCCAAGATGACAAGTATCCAGGCACGTCAAATGTCATGGGTTGCAGCTTGAGATTTTAGCTTGACAGGAAGTTGCAGCGGTACAGGACTGGAAGGGGAGCGTACGTAGGTCCCAATTGTCCAACAGGCTGTGTGAGCGCTGTGATCCTTGGTGGATGGGTGTGACAACCTCAGCTGGGACCTGACTGCCCCCAAGGTTGCCGCCGTTTTGCGCAAGCAGGACGCGGCAATTGCCAGCAAGGGACAAGGGGCAAAACTGCGCGCCCCAAAGAGGAAGAAGCCTAAGAAGGCGGTTGCCAATTTGGGCACAGCCATTGACCTCGATGACAACAGCAAATCCCTCCTCGGCAGCAAAAACCCGTACTGAACAACAAAAGCCTGTGGGGACCCGCCTTGCCAAAAACTGGGCAACAAGGGTTCCTTGGTGTGCCTGCTGTTTGGGATACAGTCACGATGGCACCTTGCTGGGGTGTTTTGAACGTTCAATGCGCACAAGACTGGAGCCAACATTGGCTTAAACATTGGGCCCTTTGCTGCTATGGACACCAGATGAGCAAAGTAGTTCCACAATATGTCATCACAACTTTACAGTCTACCTGGGATTGATCAGAGCTGCTGAGAAGAAGCGGATTGGCACATGTGGCCAAACAAACCTCTCACTGCAATCTAGGTGGAATTTGCTTGGCAAAACAATTTTGTCAGATGGCAGCTGCATTCACGCCAGGGTCCTGTGATGTGCAGCCCACTTACTCCTGCTTCTCACAGTGCTGCTCTGAGCTGCACCAATTCCTATTCTGCCTAGGGTCCTCCTCCACAGCCTCTGGTCCTGCCTCTTGTGATTGCTGTCCCCCACCTGGCGGTCTCGAGAGGAGACTTCTCCTTTGTCTAGCAAGCCTAGAGCTAATCTAGACTTGCTGTAGTGAGCAGCGTAGCCAGACCTTTGCATCGCGAGCAGCAACCAGGCGGTGTTGAAGCGCTTGCATGAAAGAAGAAGGTTCCCTTGTTGTGGTCTTGCCACTGCACTTGACATTGCCTTAGATGGGTTACAGTGCGCATGATTGACGCCGAGACTCACTGGCGCAGGTTAGGACAGGGTCTTGTGGCAGCAAGAGAACACTTTGCCAGGGTGTCACTTGTCAACAGTGCAACATTGGGTGCCTATTTATGTTGCCTTCCAGGTGGCAGTACATTTAGTTTCTAATGCTGCAATCAAGGCAGACCAGGCTGCAGAGAGGCGGCATAGGGTAAGCCAGTAGCGGTGAGGAATCTGTCCTGCCGCAGGCATTGTTGTGCGGCGAGACAGCAGGCAGCTGGATCAAACTATCGTCCGGCCCTGGCTGCCAGTTGCCGCTGATTCTGTTCTTGCCTCAGTATGTAACCTCCAAACATCTCCCTTTGCATCTTCTTGTAGCAGCTGTGACCTCGTTGTGCTCCAGTGCACCAGAATACCCATTGCCCTG